AGAAAGAATGAGGAGGACACAGTCCCTGCCCTCCCGGTGACCAGCCATGGCCAGGATTCCTCCACCTATGAGTAGGAGACTACAGACTTTGGGACTGATGATTGCAAGTCTGTCCCAGAGAAACAGAGAAACTGATCTCCTATGGGTCACACGGGAAAGCTGCAAGGACCACCTCACTCCAGAGGAGCCCCTCTCCCTTTGCTGAGCTCAGCTGCCTTAGAGCAGGGTCCCCTCCTCACCTCCTGTGACACTAGCATTGGGCAGCTGCCCTCTCTGGGAGCTGAGGCTCCCTCCAGTAAAACGGAACTCTGGGCCAGGCCACTCTGGGCCAATAGCAGCTACACAAAGACCAGCTGTCCGGCAACTCCCAGAAGCTGATTGTTCCAGCCACAGGGAGATCAAGCGTGGCAACTACTCCGTGTCTGACCTGACCCTCCAGTCCGTCCCTGCTGATCATGTTCTCTCTGGGCTAAGTCGAACATTTCAGGCACTCACTCCTATTCTCTGTCTCTCACTAATTCCTGGTGGTGCCTTTGCCATCAATACACAGGGAGATGGAGAAGACAACAAACAAGAAAGTAGCATCTCTGTCCAGGGTTTTGGGAAGATGGACAATGTTCAGGCCAGCCACGAAGTCAGAGCTCAACTCCTCCTTCAGATGAGGCGTGAACGTTCGGGCCGCGCCCAGGTGATGATGTGGAACTGACTCTGCTGATGCTGCACCTTGGCTTCCCCATGGCTCTGCTGCCCTCATGCCTTCCTTCTGCTCCTCCAAATCATGTTCCTCTGCAGGTCCAGGCCAAGGCTGTACCTGCTCTCTGTCTCATAGAGCTCACTGGGCAGCTGTCTGTGGGCTGAATTCTTAGAACCTCAACGTGGGTAACACTGATTTCTACCTTGAATCACTTAGCAGAAAGCCCCCTGAGTAGCCACAAAAAACTATATTCGAGACAATAAAGATGACTAGGGGAATTGGGTTATAAGGACACAGTTTCTGAGGTTAGTGAGGGACATTTTAAAATCACAACAGCCTGATTGTTTTAAAATGTGGGATAAGTATTGATACCTACAGAGCAATCAAATTTGATTTATACACAGTAAGTTTCCACCAAATGCATACTCCAAGGAAAAACTCAAGGTATAATTTGGTTCCATTTATATTCCGATTCACCAAAACCAGCTGCATTCACTTTTTTTTTTTTTTTTCCAAAAGCCTTCAGGAGCACACAACCAACCTTTGTCAACAGTCGGTTCAATGGGGACATCATGGAGCCTCTGCGGTACAACAGCTGAGTTTGTTTTTCCCCATCTGTAATGCATGAGCCACCCTCCATCCTGCTAGGAAGGCAAGTGCTCATCCTGCCTCTCAGACCCTAGGGCAAACCCCTTGGTTCTCTTTACATGTTGCTGTTTCTGAGCCGAGGACACAGAAACCGTGACTAGGCTGAGGGATACAAGGCTGAAACTCTACATGACCCTGGCATTATCTATTCTGAACCACGTTATCTGATGGTCAATATGAGGCCTCAATGGAGAACATTGGGGTGATTTCACCCCAACCCCACCTGCAGCCTCCTCTCTTCTCAGTTTCCCAGCAGAACTGGCTGTAGCACGAGGCTGCACCAGGCTGTAAATGCACAGGAAGGAGCCCCCCACTCTCCCTGCTCAAGATGGGTCGTGGAGGGTCACTTCTGAGG